AGGAATGTGCCTATGGTACCGAGCTGCAGCAACAGGCGGGTCGTGGCGCGGGTCTGCTTGGACAGCTGCAGGATGCGGTCCTAGAGCGAGACGCGATGGGAGGAATGAATGGAATTTGAGTGGTCGCCACCAGTGAATGCAGCGCACCGATGTAGGAGAAGAGGTGCGATGTGCGTACCAGCTTCGCCGCCAGCTTGGCCCTGGGCGACTTCTTATCGCCCAGGCGGCGAGGCGCCGCTCGGGGCAGGCCCCGCTTCTTGCTCTCCGCAACGCCGCGCTGGCCCTCTACCACGTTCGGGGAGATTGAGCGGAGCCGGGGGGGGGATCGATGCTCGTCAGCGACGACGCCTCAAACCAGCCGACCGACACCCACACACCCACACACGAGGCTCTGAGTGACTACGTACTGAGTGCGGCCTGCAAGGCCAAGCACTGCCGGGCGTAGAGCTCGCTCAGCCGCTCCAGGTGCGCTCTCAGGCCGTACGCCCCCAACTCTGCGCGCGCAGCAATACAACGTGAGAGAGCGCGTATTGTCGTTCACACTGCGTCATGAATGTGCGGTGGTGGTGCGGGTGCGGGTACCAGGTAGAATGTCGGCGAGGCGGTCCAAGTGCTCTTCCGATTCGTTGAGCAGAGCGTAGTAGTCCTGTTTCAGCACCGCCAGCGTCCGATTCCAGTAGTCGGCATCCCGTTCGGTGCCCTCCGCTTCGGCGCTCGACATTTCAGAATGCGATGAAGCCGTGGGCGTCGACGACGGCGACGCTGACGGGACCGCACGAAAGGCCGAGCGGAGAGCGTCGATCGACCGTCGCAGCAGCGTACGCAGGCGCATGGCCGCCAGCGACTGAACTGGCCCGTTCGCCTCCATCCGCGATATGGGTCCCAGCCTCTGGCCACTGGAACCGACATTGTTGGGTCAGGTCAGCACTCGTGTCACACGCGCACGAGTGTGTGCGATGTGCGCGTGCCGTCGTGTGAGCGCACATTTTGTAGCCGCGCGCCAGAAGCTCGGATTCCTGAAAATGAAACGGACACGTCACACACGCTACGCGATCGAGAGATCGGGGAGATCGGGAGAGAGAGAGTGTGTATGTGTGTGCACCTGAATGCAGAGCAAGACTCGGCGTACGACGCGTTGGTAGTCGGCACTACGCTGCGCGATCCGCTGAAGCGCGCGGAGGTTGCGATGGTGCGTTCGCTCCGTGAGCCACTCCTCCTGCGAGGTGGTCCACATCGATGTCGGTCGAGTGAATAGTGGGCGTACGCCGTGAAACTCGCTGAGCGCCGGCGCGTACCGTGTGGAGCGCGAGGGCGTTGAGCCCGACGAGCGCTGCGAAGACGGCGAAGGCAACCGCAAGCCAGTTTCCCTGCGACGCGTAGAGCCACATGGCGGCCGCGCACACCAGCGCCAGCGGGGCGACGACGTGCCGGTCGAGCACGACGGACGACAGCCGTCGCTCGTGCGGGAACGCCGAGTAGTGTCGAGCATCACCGCTGCCCGCAGGGGCATCGGCGTATGCGTCTTGCTCCTGGGCAGCACCCTCATCACGATCGGGATCAACGTCGCGAGCCTCGCGCCACCCGACGTAGAGCGGCGTGAAGCGGGCCACGAGTGCAGCCCTCCGCTTCGTTCGCGCCTCACCAGTAAAGAAGGACAACACCCACTCCTGCCACGCACACGACGGAGCGCTTTGTTCATAAATAATACAAAATACAAATACAAATGCGTACCCGTGGTGAGAAGGGCTGAGCGGTTGCAATGTGGTGGAAGGAAGACGGCGTGGGCTGTGAGGTGGGAGCAGAAGTGGTGGGCAGAGCGGCAGATGGAGAGCTGGGAGGGGCGAGCAGAGACTTGAGTTCGGCCTCCACGGCGCCTACGTCCACGGGCTCAATGCACTCCTCCACGCCCAAGTCGTCATCGAGGGAGAAGGGTGCGTGGATTGCAGGCCCAGCACCCTCCACCTCTGCCGGGTCGCCCTCCCCCTCTAGAAAAGCGGGCACGTCCATGTTGCACCGAAGAAGAAAAACAAAAGAGAAAACAAAAAACCAAGAAGAAATAGTAAATGACGACACCACGCAGAGAACAGCTGGCGCAAAGATCGTGCGCGTAGAGGAAGAGGCAGCCGCTGGAAAAAGCAGATCAACAACAAGATGGCCGACAAGCAGCAAGCGACGACACCCGCCAAGGAGCACGTTATCGAGGAGGACGATGAATTTGAGGAGTTCGAGAATGAGGGTACGTTGAGGCTTCATTCAAGCGAAATGCAGCGTCCACGCTTCAGTAATTGCTTCATTTTTTACTAATGGACCGCATCTTTGCACTCCCTTCTCTAGAATGGAAGGAGGATCAGGAAGATGCTGACGATGCCAAGCAGTGGGAAGACGATTGGGATGATGAGGAGGTAGATGACGATTTTTCTAAGCAGTTGCGGTGCGCCTCCGCCCACTCTTACACCACTGCCAGCCTTGGGAGTGATTCTGATATATGGCGTTTCATCTGCAGGGCTGAGCTTGAGAAGCAGACCACGGCGATGCAGACGTCGTAGGCTGAGGGACCTCTCTTGAGGCAAGTGACTCTTTAGATTGGGGAGTGTTTATTCGGTTTATCCTTCTTCTTCTTCGCTTTCGCACGACATCTATCCATCAGTTGCGCGCGAGCACACCTCATGTAAAGATGGAACGAGGAGGCATGACCACGCACACCCTCGACACGAGAGTCGCTGGCCAATAAACCATCAAAAACAAACTACACAACGAGAGAGAGCGGGGCGTACTCACTCGCCCACAGCTAGCCAAACTTGGGCACGATCGAGCCGCTCAGCACGTCGGGCAGCGCTGATAGCTTGCGTCGCTTTGTCTGGGCTTCGTGATCGTCGTAACTGGCGCTGCACGCACAACACGACCGAGGAGACGAAACGTCAGACAGACATCACCCGCCACGCAGCCACCACACACACGTGTGCAAGTGAGCGACCTGGAGTTGTTGTCGTCCTCCTCATCATCTTCACCATCTTCAGCTTCGTGTTCGTCCTCCTCTTCGTCGTCTTGCGCTCGAAATCGACCCCGGCCATCGTCGCGGCTTGCTTCGTCCTCTTCTTCTTCCTCCTCCTCGCCATTGTCTGTTCGAGGTTGGTCGATGACGTCCGACGACGTCAGAGACGGAAGCGAAGACAGCGCCGATGAACCCGCCACCGGCACCGGCGGCTCCGCCAGACGTCGCCGACCGCGAACGTTGCGCGGGTGCTTGAATCGACACTGCGTGTCGTCGCATTCGCCCGTGCGCACCCACGTCTGGCACTCGTAGGTGTGGAGCAGCTTGCAGGCGCTGCCCTGCGGGCAGTAGCCCGCGAGGAAGTCCTCGCACACGGCCGCCAGCGGGTTGACGTTGACGTGGGGGTAGGGGCAGTGCTCGTCGAAGCACGAGCCCAGCAGGAAGCGAAAGCACACCGGCAGCGTCTTGGCCTTGTCTTCTTCTTCTTCACCTCCTCCTCGTCGTCCGACCCGGAGCGTCATCGCGGCGCCGTGTTCTTGTTCACCGCCAGCGCCAAAGGGACCAGCGCGCCCTCGACCAAGTGCTGTGAGGCCGCCTCGCGGAGCAAAGCCTCGGCCCCGGCCTCGTCCTCGTCCCCGACCACGCCCGCCGTCCCACAGCGCCGGAGCGCCTGGCCCTGTGATGGGTACGGCGTGGGAAAATGGACAGTTCAAGCCCTTGCCGCAGTGCCCTGGATGAGAAGAGGGATGAGATGCGCGAAGCCTGAAATAATAATGATAATGATAAAGATGTAATGATAAGATGCAAGCACCTGAGGAATGGAAAAATCGGCATGGTGGCCGTGCAACAGGTGCGAAGGTAGAGGAGGATGGGGCTGGTCGTTTTTTGCGATCAATTTCTTCTCTGAGACGCGCAATTTGCAGCATGAGCAGCCGTTCTTTCTCATCCGTGCCGCTACGCGAGGGACCTGCTGTGCCGTCCTTGGGTGCTTGCTTGTGGGTTGATATCACTTCGGAAAGGGAGGCAATCTTGCGCAGCAGGTCGCTTTCATTCATCTTTGCCAATGTGAAAACTATTATATTTATTTTATTTTATTTATAAATAATAATTAACAAAAAGAAAATCAATATCCGTGGTGCCGGTACGCTCAGGCAAGATTGTTTGCCCTGGCTAAGTTTGCGAGCAGGTCGTCCAAGTCGAAGATCGCAGATGTGTCCTGGGCGTGAGAAGAAAGCAATGGCTGAGAACGTGCAGCACGTGGTCGAGTCAAGGTGGAACAACAGTCAAGCTCTCAAGCGAGGAGGTGGAACTGATGGTACCTGACTGGCAGTCACGGAGGAGAACTGGTCGAGTCCTTCAATCTTGAAGATGACGCTGGCCAGCTCATCCACATCGCTATCGCGCTCGGCTTCTGTTCGCCGGGGCTCGGGCGCAGGCGGCGCAGGAGCAGGTGAGGCCGCGAAGGCGGGGCTTCGTGCCGTCGGCTGCAGCGGCGAGACCACCGGCGCCGGAACCACCGCAACGGGAGCGGGCGTTGAAGGGGGAGCAGCCGCGGTTGGAGGCGTGCGCGGCTGGCCGCGAGGCTGCGGCTGCGGAAGCGGCCGGCCCTGTCGGGCAGTGTTCGGCTGTGGCAGTGGTCGGCCAGACGACCCCGGTGGTCGAGCCTGGGCCTGGGCCTGCACAGGAGGCTGCGGCGGTGGCTGTTGGAATGTGGGCGCCTCCAGCTGGAATGCGGGGTGTGACGTAGGCTGTGAAGGCTGAGAGTAAGGCGCCGGCACTACTGGCGCTGGGATGTTGGGCGGGCCGTCGGAGGCGAAGGTCTGTCGTCGGCTCATTCCCGAGCGCTCGGGCACGGGCGGCGGCGGGCGGCGCATGGTCATCGAGCCACCGCCGGCGGTGGGCGACAACGGCGGCGACATGGGTGGCGAAGACATGAGCATGGGCGAGGAGCGGCTCGACTGACCCGATGGCATCGAGAGCGGCGAGACGGGCACGTGCGGATTGCTGGGGGTGAGGAAGGAGACCCCCGCCGGTGCGGGCTTGCCCGGCCTCGGCGGCGGCAGACCGACACGCACCGAGAGACGCGTGCGCATGTCCTCGGTGAAGGAGAACATCAGCCGATACTTGACCTTCTCTGTACGCGCGCGCGTGCGTGTGTAGAGCAAAGTTGTGTGAGTCGTAATGTTTTCTTCTGAAGAGAGGTTCGAGTAGGACGAGAGTCTGGACCTTCTTGCAGCTCGAGCGGATCGTAGTCGGGGTGGGTGGCAAACTCCTGCAGGACGTCCCACACCCGCTCCTCTTGGCCCAGCACTCTCTCTGTACGGCCGCCCATGAGCACACACATTAGACGTGGACGTGGCATTAAAAAAAAAACAAGGAGGCCATGAAGAGGGGAGATGGGATGAAGAGGGTCGCAGGGAGTAGAGGAAGAGGAGATGTACCTCCTTGCGGAGTGATTTGTCGCAGTTCGTAAGCTTCGGAAAGTAAAGGCAGCTGGAGCCGTCGGGCAAACATGCCGCAGGCCTCCCTGATGGTCGTGCTTCCGGTGACTCTCACTCTGCAGCCACAGTGTCAGCAGACGAGAATGCATTCACCGCATCGCTCATCTTCATCATTCCCCAATTTAAAACAGAGTACTAATTGGAAACGTACGCCTTGTATGATCCATCCTTCAGGAAGATGCGCGCCACCCCAGCAGCCTCAGCCATGGTGCAGTCCGGTGTATCTTGATGTTGTATTGGCTTTACTTCTACTCGCCAAATAGCTAGCCCAGTTGCTCCGGCCACTGCCGCTTCATTGCGGGACAACTCCAAGGCGGCGTGGGCTGTCAGTCGTGAGCCCTACCGCACGAGCCACGAACGCGAACTGCCGTAGTCGCGCTTCCTTCTTGAAGTTGAACTTCTTGCAGTGGTGTCAACAAAAGAGGGGCGTGTGGGCGCCATGGGGGCCGTAAGGAAAGCACCACCAACGTGTGTAGAAAAGGAAAAGCTCTCAGTACAAAAAGTTTGTCCATTCTTCAGAGATTGAGTTGTTCTCAACTCGTTCGCCCCTGTCGCAATGGATTCTCTCAGGTGCTTTCTTCTTTGCCCCTTGTAGAAGACTACAACCACCTCCACCGACACCAGGAGTTCAGTTCTGTTTTTCGAGCTCTGAATTTATTATTATTTGTCATTATAAATTCTTTTATTAACCGAAATTCCGGGGGTTGGTGGTTTCGAATGACAGCACCGCCTCGCCCCAGCCACTACGCCGAATGTCGACGGAAGTGCCACGGCCATCTTCCTCACCCACGACGCAGCAACAAGCCAACCAAGAAGCTGTCGCGGCCGTCTCGCTCTCTTCCTCTTCCGTTCCCATTCGGCGTCACACTCAACACAACATCAGCCCGGCCAGCCCCTCCTCTTCCCCCTCCCCGCTTCCTTCCAGCACCACACACAGCGCGCCCGCAGTCGGCCGACAGCGCAACGACAGCGAAGCGAAGCGAAAAGAAAAAGCGAAAGCGAAGGACTCAGAAAAGAACGAAAGCGACCGGTCTAAACCCCAGGCACAGCAGCAGCAACGGAACGTTAGTCTCCGCGACCTCACCGTCGTAGACGAAGCAAGGAAACTCGACTCGCGTAAGCAGCAGCGGCAGGAGAAGAAGAAAGGTTGGTGGTGGGGCAAACAACACATAATCATGATGAACGTCGGAGGAGCACAAGGGGGCGGCGCGCCGCTGCATCGGCCCCTTACGCCCCAGAAGGTGCACCAGCAGCAGCCCGCACACATGTCTCTCAACCTCGGGGACTCCATGGGCGCAGCATCCCTCATGATGCCGACCAACTCCAACGCCCCTCGCCCCCTCCACAGCCTTCCCACCGCGTCAGGTACTGAATCCTTCGTTCTTTTTTTCTTCCTATCTTCACTTTTATTTGTTTTATTTATTTTTATCTCCAGTTCTATGTGGGGGGGGGCGAGCAAATAATCCCTGTTCTCTATCATTCTTCCTCCCCCCTTATTATTATTTATCCTTATTATTGCGTTGCAAGTGTGCGTGGGGACTAATGATACGGGTTTACCGCACCATCTTCGCGTGTAGCGCTCTTTTCCCCACACCCTCAACAACAACAACAGATGGCCGTCGGTGGCTTTCCCATGCAACAGCAGCAGTTCCCACCGCAGCAGCCGCATCAACTCCAGCAGCAGCAACAGCACCAGCAGCAGCCCGGCCTCGTCATGGGCCAACTGCAGCCGCAGCCGCAGCTCCAGCAGATGCCGCCGCAGCAGCAGCAGCCCATCGTGTACGCGACGCCCGTGGTCGGCAGCGGCAGCAATGGAGGTAGCGCCAAGCCCGCCTCGATGGGGTCGGGCGGCATGCCCACGAGCTCCAAGCACATGCCCGTCCTCGTGCCCGTCCCCAAGCACTCGGCGCACTCGCCCGCTCACCCCGCGGTACCCCCCTACCCTCTCAATCCACGAAGGAATAAATAAATAAATAAATAAATATTAAGTAAGAAATAAGAAATAGTAAATAAGAAGAAGTAATAAAGGTCTTGGAGGGCTGACCCCGTTCTAGCATCAGCAGCCGCAGCAAGTGCAGCCGCAGCAGACGATGCCCGGCATGAATGCTGCGCTCTGGCAGGCTCAGCAACAGCAGCAGCAGCAACAGCAGCAGCTCCAACAGCAACAGCTTCAGAAGCAGCAACAGCTCCAACAACAGCAACAGCTACACCAGCAGCAACAGCAGCTCCAGCAGATGCAGCTGCAAATGCAGCTCCAGCACTCGCAGCAAATGCAACTCCAGCACTCGCAGCAAATGCAGATTCCTCAACAACTGCAGGCGCCGCTAAGCGGCCAGCAACAGCTACAACAGCATCTTCAACAGCAGCAGCTCCAGCTTCAGCAGCAGCAGCAGCATCAGCTTCAGCAGCAGGCCATCAACCAGCAGCAGCAGGCCGCCCTGCACGAGGTACGTACACCACCTCCACCCGAAAACGAGTCGCTACATGGTCGACGCCATTGGCTGATGTTTTGATTTTTTGTTTGATTTCTCCCCGGCCCTCTTCGTCTCGTAGCAGGCCAAGGCGCGCGAGGCCGAGCTGGCGGCCAAGGCGGCGGCCGAGGAGAAGCACAAGGCCGAGCAGCAGGCCCGCGAAAAGATGGCCCAGGAGAAGATGGAGCAGGAGCGGATGCGCCTCGCCAAGCTCCACGCCGACCACCAGAAGCAACTGCAGCGCGAGCAGGTGCGCAGAGGCCACTACACAACACACAACACACAACACACAACACACAACACACAACACACAACACAACACACAACACACAACACACACCTATGTGTGTCTTCTAGAGACGTGTTTTTTCCCCCTCTCACACAGTGGTTGGCCTCATAGGAGGAGGAACGGCGAAAGCGGGAGGCCCTCGAGGCCGAGAAGGCCCGTCTGCGCGCCGAGAAGGAGCAGGAGAAGCTCCAGGCCCAGCAGCAGATGATGCGCAAGATGGAGGAGGAGGCGCGTCAGGCGGCGGCCAAGCGCGAGCAGGAGCAGGCACGCCTGGAGGCCGAGCGACAGGCGGCCGTGGCGCAGATGCAGGCGCAGCTGGTGGCCGCCCAGCAGCAGCAGCTCCAGCTCCACCACGCCGAACAGCAGCGCATCGAGGCCCAGGCCGCCGCCATCGCCCAGGCAAGTCACGCGGTGTAGTCCCACACAGCTCAGCACGCTAGACTGACCTTCGCTCTTCGTTCTTCTCTCTCCGTTCTTCGTTCTTCTTCCAAACGTGAAACAGGCGCAGGCCCAGGCGGCGCAGCGCGCGGCGCAACTCGAGCGCGAGCGTCAGCACTCCGAACAGGAGTTCCAGCGACAGCGCGCGCTTCACGTACTCACACCCGACAGCTTTCTCTTTTTCTTTCCATTACTTCTTGGCTCACCCGCGTGGCGTTGTGTGTGTGTGTGTGTGTGTGTGTGTGTGTGTGTGTGTGTGTGTGTGTGTCTTCCAGGCGCAGGGCGAGCAGGAGACCGCGCGACAGCTCGAGGCCGAGCGTGCCAAGATCTTGGAGGCGCAGAAGCGCGCCGAGGAGGAGGTCCGCGCCCGCGCCGAGGAACTCGAGCGACAGAAGGCCCAGATGGAACTCTGGTATCGCCAAAGGTGCGTACACGCGCAGCCCACGCCGTGTGTGCGGTCGTGCGTGTGCGTGTGCGGTCATGCGTGCGTGCGTCGTGTGTCGCTCACACGTTCTGTTCTCCCTCGCAGTGCGCATGAGATGGCGCAGGTCGAGAAGAAGCGCATCCAGGAGGAGCTCGAGTCGCAGAAGCAGGCGATGGAGTGGGAGCGGCAGAAGATGGAGGCCGAGCTCCAGCGCCGACGACTGGAGGAGGAGTCCCAGCTCACCGCCAAGGCCCATCTCATCGAGAAGCTGCGCCTCGAGGAGGAGGCCAAGGAGCTCGAGCGCCAGCGCCAGCAGGCCGAGCAACTCGTCCAGATGGAGCAGCAGCGCAAGATGCTCGAAATGGAGGCCATCGAACGGTACACGCCCGCCCTACCACCCACTCGTTCTTCCCCATCAACCGCTCGACGACCAACCCTTTCGTTGTCGTGTGCGGTGTGTTGTGTGTGTGCGTGTGTGTTGTGTGTGTGTTGTGTGTGTGTGTGTTGTGTGTGTGTTGTGTGTGTGTGTGGTTTAATGGTGCAGACAGCGTCAGCGGGAGGAGCAGGAGCTCACGCTGGAGAAGCTGCGGATGGCGGAGCAGGCGGTGCGCGAGCGCGAGCGCAAGATCGAGGAGGAGGCGCGCCGACAGCACATGGAGCGCGCGGCGCGCGAGGAGGAGATCCGCCAGCGCGAGGAGCAGATCAAGGCCGAGATGGCCTGGCGCGAGCAGGAGCGCCTGCGCCACATCCACGCCGAGATCGAGGAGCAGCGGCGGCGCATGGAGGCCGAGCGCAAGCAGCAGGAGTACGCCCTGGCCATGGCCCGCAACGAGCACGTCAAGCGCGAGGAGGAGCGCAAGCGGCTCGAGATGGAGGAGCTCGTGCGCAAGGAGCAGCTCATCATCGAGCGGTACGTCCCAGTCAGCAATGTGCGCAATGTGCCAGGAATGCTGAAATGAATGTGGCTGGAATGTGTCTGGCTTTTCGTGTGTGTTCAGTGAGCGGCTGCAGGAGGAGATCAGGCTGCAGCAGGAGGAGCTCAAGCGGGTGCGCGACGCCGCGGCCCGTGAGAAGGAGCAGATCCAGCGCGAGCTCGCCGAGCAGAAGCAGCGCGAGCGCCAGCGCGCCGAGGCCATGATCCAGCACCCGCAGCAGCGGCCGCCCGTCTCCCCGCCCAACTCGTCGGGCTACGGCGTCTTCGCCTCCGGCAACGCCCAGACCAACCCGCCCCGGCCCATCCAGTGGCCCGGCGCCGCCCCGCCCGCCCCGCGCAGCACCGGTGGCGGCGGCGGCCAGCACGGCTTCTCGGTCGCGCCCACCGACGAGGCCCTGCCCACGCCCGTGCCCCTGCCCGTCGATTTCCAGTCAATGCCGGCTCTGCCGGCCCGGCCCGCCGCCGTGTCGACACAATTACCTGCCCTGCCGCCGCAGCCACTGACGGGACCCGACGCCGCGCTGTCGCCGCGCAGCTGGGAGGCCAAGGAGCTGTCGCGCCGCGAGAAGAAGGAGGCCAAGAAGCTGCGCAAGAAGGAGGAGGAGGAGCGGAAGCGCGAGAAGAAGAAGGAGAAGCGCGAGAAGAAGAGCAGCAAGGCCGCCAAGAAGAGTGGCGGCGGCGGCGGCAGCAGCAACGCCAAGATCTCCGCCATGGCCTCCCTCTCCATGCCCCACACCCCGGCCCAGCCCGCCACCATGCCCGTGCAGCACCAGCACCAGCCGCCCGCCGCGCACGTTGCGCCGACGCCGCCCAAGTCGGCCGGCCACAGCGACAGCGCGACGCAGAACAACGTCAGCCTGGCGTCGGCGGCGTCGACGCTGGAGACGCCGAAGGAGCGGGCCAACTTCTTCGAGATGAGCAAGAGCAAGGACATCCAGCTCAACGACGACGAGGCGCTCAAGGCCGGCGGCGGCAAGAAGCGCAACCTCTTCAAGAAGTCGAACAAGGGCAGCAAGACCGAGGCCATCTCGCGCACCCAGAGCGGCCTCAAGCTCGACTCGAAGCCCTACCTCTCCATCTGGTATGGCTCGCCCCAATTTTTATTAAGAAGGCGGTCGGTTGGTGGTGAATAACTAACAATTCATGGCATGTGAAGGCTGCCTGGTGCGGACACGCTCTCGGCGCCGCGCATTCACAAGCTCAAGAAGAAGAAGCTCTTCGTCGGCAGCGACACTTCGTGCCACATCTGCGTACCCGACGAGAACTGCGCCAAGCGTCAGGCCCTCATCTATTCCGGTACACGACACGACACGACACGACACGACACGACACGACACGACACGACACGACACGACACGACACGACACGACACGACACGACACGCACACGCACCACACGACACACACGGTTAGAGGCTGACCTGCGCTTCTTGGCAACACAAAACAGACAACGGAGTGATCATGATTCGGGATCTGGACGCGAGCAAGGGCTCGACCAAGGTCAACGGGCAGGCCGTCCCCGAGAAGGGCACCGTCCTCCGCCCCGGCGACGTGCTCGCCATCGGCAAGACCAAGATCGTCGTCTGCAACGATCGGTACGTGTAGACGCGTCTACATTCCTCCCCATTCCGTACATGCCGCGCATTCCCAAGATGCCATGGGCGCTGACATTCCTGCGTACGCACGTGTACAGTGTGGACAAGCCCAACAAGTTCCTGCCTGAGGACCACTCGGCGACCGTGTCGCCGCCGGGCTCGTTCTCCAGCGGCATGCCCTTCACGGCCTCCACCAATAATGGCGTCCCCTCGGGCCTCGCCGGCCAATCGGCGCCGGCCCTCTTCTTCGGCGGCGGCAGCAGCAGCGGCAACAGCGGCGGCATGGCCAGCGTACTGACCCCGCCGCCCACCCTCACCACGCCCGGCGGTGCGTCCATCCACCACTCGACGCCCGCCGGCCTTCATCACTATCAGCCGTCGCCGCCGCCGGTCGGCTACGCGGGCGTGGCCGATGTCGGCCGCACCGGCGCCCAGTCGCCCGCGCCGACGACCGAGCAGTGGAACGACGACGACCTCGACGCCGTCGAACACGAGCAGGAGCGAGAAGACGAATACGATGAAGAGGAGGAGGCGGACGGCGGCGCCTACGGTGCGTCGGCCGACGCGGTCGACGATAACGGCGGCGATGACTATGGGACGTGGGGCGAGGAGCACAGCGGCAGGCGGCGGGGCTCGTCGATCCGCAAGGAGGAGATCGATTCGCTGGCTGCCACGCTCAAGGGCCTCGGGCTGGCGACGGCGGGCGCCGCCGACGTGGCCACCACAGCCGACGCCACGGTGGACGACACCGACTACCAGGTGAGCAGCACCTCGAGTCTGCCCGCCTCCGCTGTCCCCTCCTAGGCGTTGCTGGAGCACTACACCACAAGAACAAACAAGCAGCTGGCCTCTGTATTCCCATCATGTTGTATAAACCCATCGTTCATCACATCATCTCCATTCGTACTACATGACAACTATGCTCGCTCAAGGCGGCGAGGCCTCAGCTCTGGGGAGCGACGGCGGAGCGGGCCAGTACGTGAGCGTAGAGGCCGTGGGCGGCCGGCATCGTGATAGCTGCACCCCCCCCACCCCCGAGCATTGAATGGCAGATCTGCACGTGTGAGCGGCGGGGCGTCGCATACCTTTCCTGGGCCGAACGACGTGGCCTGGCGCCAGGCGGAAGCGGAACCGCTGCAGGACCATCACCGCCAGTAGCTTGGCCTCCTGCTCCCCCACCCCCCGCCCAAGCGTCACCTTCAGGTGAGCGGCCATCGGTGATGGGGGGCGGGTGGAGGCAGTAGGAGCGTACGAGGAGGGCCATGTGCATGCCGAGGCACACGCGAGGGCCGGCCAGGAAGGGAAAGTACTGGAAGGGGTGCATCGCGCGCACGCGCTCCCGGTCCAGCCACCGCTCCGGCACGAACTGGTCGGCGTCGTCGCCCCACCACTGCCGGCTCCGGTGGATCGTGTACGCGTTGAAGCCGATGTAGGTCTGGATCTCCCCCCACAACCGGAGACCGCGCGTTGACTTTGGTCAGCGTTGACTGAATGTAAGGGGGGGGGTTGTTTGGGGGACTACGCACCCCGGCTTTCACCCTCACGCCATTGGGCAGGACGTCGTCTTGTACCGCCATCTTAAAGTTGCTGGGCACGGGTGGGTAGAGCCTGCCGCCAGCACGACGGTACCACGGTTGATGATGGTGACGGTGGGCGGTGGTGGTGACGGTGGTGGTGGTGGGACTCGATCATCCATCGTCGTGGTACCTGAGGGTTTCGTCGAGCACGGCCCGGAGGTAGGGCAGCTGGCTGAGGTCGTCCCAGGTGGGCGCCCGGCCGCCCACGCGCTCGTCGATCTCGCCGATCGCCTAACTCCCCGCACCCGAAACCACCAGCCACCAGCCACCCGGCTTGAGTTGAGGACTCGCACCTGAAGAGAAAGGTCGCCGACGCACCCGATCGGCGGCCTCCGGGTGGAGGGCCAGGAGGTAAAACGCCCACGTCAGGAGGATGGCCGTCGTGTCTCGCCCCGCGATCAGGAAGTTCATCACCACATCTAACACACGACACACGACACACGACACAGTTATGGAGTGTGCAGCAGGCAAGTGGTGAGGGGGGAGGGTACCGCGCAGGTAGGCATCGGAGAAGGGCAGGCCCTGTGGGTCGCGCAGGCACAGGTAGCGGGAGAGGAGGTCGCTCTTCTGGCGCAGCTCGTCGGGCGGCTCGGCCCGGCGCCGGCGAATGATGCCCAGCACGAACTGGTCCATACGGGCAATGTCCGCCTCCAGGCCGCCGCCCCACCCCAGCACGTACTCGCGGAGGGGATTGTCGGCCCGCTTGTCGATCTCGGCTTGGGCTTTATCGAACCTGCATAGAAGAGGAGGGGGGGGGAAGAATGAAGAAAGAACGAAAAAAGAGACGAACGAAAAAGAACGAATAAAACGGCAGACGGTGGGGAATGACGGCGTGCGGTACAGATAAGAGAACTCGACGGGGCGATGGAGGGAACCGATATCGTGGCCGAACCCGACAAGCCCGATCGAGTCAAGCGTGTACCTCTGCTCGCGGCGCGTGAAGTGAAAATAAGGCGATGAGGTGAGCAAATGTCGGGGCGTGATGGGTGTACCATGAAGAGGTTCTGGAGGTCTATCGGTTCTGAGTCAGCAACTCGCTCAAGTGTGGCGATCACGGTCTCGGCGCCGGAGACGAAGACAGGCAGCATGTCCTTGATGCTCTCAGTCCGGAAGAGAGGCTTGGCCGTCGTCCTGCGCGCAGTCATAGTAGCAATGAAGGGTTGAAGAGAGAAGCGAAGCGTTAACGGCCGTTTCGTTCTTTGCTGTGAGGGTGGGGATACCGCTGGTGCTTCCAGGTGTCGCCGTTGGCCACGAAGATGCCGCGGCCGAGGAGCGGGCCCAGGAGGTGGGCCATGTGGGGACCCTTCTCGTAGTTGCGGAAGTTGGTCTGCAGCACCCACTTGAGGCACTCGGGATCGGCGATCGACATGCCACGCAGGTGCACCAGCCGCCACGAGAACACGTCCCCGTACTACTCGCACCGCGGGGGGGGGGTAAGATGGTGCCACTACGTAGTCGAGGTGGTGCCAAAACGTAGTCGAGGTGGTGCCAAACGTAGAAGACAAGTGGGGTGCTGCAAAAGCGTGTAGAGCGAGGGGTGTACTTGGAGGTGGGCCTCCTGGTTGAGCTCCAGGATGCGGTCGCTGTTGACGAGCACGCGCGGCAGGATGCCCACCAGCGGCCAACTGTAGGGTCCAGCTGGCGCATCGGCACCGTACCCCACCATCCAGTTCTGTTGTTGGGTTGTGGTGGTGGCGGTGTGTGGACCACGTCATGACCACCCCACCCCCAGCTACTTGCTCGTGCTCGCAATGGTTTGGAAGGCCGCACCTTGAGGGCGGCAACAGCATACAGGAGGAGCGCCAGCACGAAGAGTAGCAGCAGCACACCCATCGGCGGTGTAGACGTGGCAAGAGACAAATAGATAAATAGATAAATTATTTTTTATTTATTTATTTATGTGTATCGTAGAGAGAATGTAGTGCTTTCTCGATCGCTTGGTTGGTGGCTTTGGGTGCCGTGCGATAGACGCGCAGTAACAGTTGAAACCCAGTTGACGCCAGACCTCTTCCAATGCAGAAGAAGAAGAAATTGGGGGGGGGGCGAGTTTGAGGATACAATCGTGTTGGTTTGGTTCTCCTACGAAGGAGGACAAACAGGAGGAGAAGAAGAAGAAATTGGAAGACACACAAGGTCGCATCAACGCAACCCGGGCCATTGTTTGATGGCCCGGCATTGCTCGGGATCGCACTGTCGCCAGTAGTTGATGCTCGTTACATGTCGTCGTCATCATCTTCTTCCTGTTCCTGTACATCTACGTTCCCCCCCCCTGGAGGCCAGGCTACGCTTCTTCCCGCGTCTGTTGCATGTGTGGAAAACAACACATAGAAACATGAGAAGTTAGTTCGTGCATGAGAGAACGAGAGAAGTGAGAAGCAGCAAAGTGAAAGTGAAGGGACGTACGGGAAGGGTGCGCTGGTCCTCGCCCTAATCGCTGGTGGTCGGCGCATCGGGCTCTGTGGCCCGGAATGCCGCCGCCGCCACTCGAGGCCAGGCTACGCTTCTTCCCGCTTCTGTCGCACGCGTAACATGTTATAAGTTGGTTGGTCAGTGAATGGAAGATGCACACATAGAGCGAGAGTTGAAAGACGTACGGGAAGGGTGCGCTGGTCCTCGCCCTAATCGCGGGCGGTCGGCTCATCGGGCTCTGTGGCCCGGAATGCCGCCGCCACCACTCGAGGCCAGGCTACTCTTCTTCCCGCGTCTGTCGCACGATAGAAATATTCCAAGTTAGTTCGTGAACGAGAGAGAATTGAGAAGCAGCAAAGTGAAAGTGCAGGGACGTACGGGAAGGGTGCGCTGGTCCTCGCCCTAATCGCGGGCGGTCGGCGCATCGGGCTCTGTGGCCCGGAATGCCGCCGCCACTGCTCGAGGCCAGGCTACGCTTCTTCCCGCGTCTGTCTCACGCGCAACATAGAAATATGAGAAGTCAGTTCGTGAAAGGAAGCAAATTGAGAAGCAGCAAAGTGAAAGTGAAGGGACGTACGGGAAGGGTGCGCTGGTCCTCGCCCTTATCGTGGTCGCTGATGATGGTGACCACGCGCCGATCTTGAGATGGATCGGTGGGTGGTCGTCTTCGTTGTAGTTGTAGTAGTAGTTGTAGTAGTAGTAGTTGTTGATGATGATGATTGTGTTCTTCTTGCCGGTCGTGCCGGTCGTCCGTCGCTCGTCGTTCCCCCCTCTCTTCTTTTTTTTTTTTTTTTTTTTTTGTTTTCTTGACTCCTCCGTCCGCTTGAGGGTTGGCGGTGGCGGTTAGGCGAGGGTGGCCCACATCCCACCTTCGCTCAAGTCAGTCGCGTTCCTGTTTGTCGTTCCAACATAACGGTTAGCGAACGAGTTCAGCAGCAGACGACTCGCGAGCAAGAAAGAGAAAGAGAGCGCGTACAGGAGGGCGGCGGGCAGCCGGCTGAGAACGGCCTGGAGCTGTTGGTCGTACACCGGCGGGAGGTCGGCCACGTCGAAAAACTGGCCCATGGTCATCGGGTTGAGCGGGGCCTCCTCGGGGCCTGCGCGGCGGCCGCGGAGGTCCTCAAGTACGACCCACTCCTCCGCATCGTCAATTGACGAATCGCCGATCTCTTGGTCTTGTGCTTCTTCTTCTTGACGTTGATTCTTGACCCGTTCGCACCAGTTGGTGTCGCTGCATGAATGATGATGATGATGATGGACAACCAGATTAGAGGCCGCCAATCAATCAATACAACAAATCGGGAGAAGTATTAAGGACGTACACAGGAGGGAGGAGGGCCACGTCGATGAACTGGCCCATCAGCATTGGGTTGAGTTGAAATTCGTCGTTGTCATCGTGCGCCTTCTCCTAATTGTTGTCGATTTTTGAGATTAATCAAAACGCAATCGGCAAACAATTGCGATGTGAGCCAGAAGCGTACCGGCATGACTTCAGATTGTTGGCATTCCTCGCTCACGGCATCGCCGTGCTGAGGCAGGCGATCTCGCCTTTGGCCTCCTTGAGCAGGCTGGCGAGCGGGCGCGTCTCCTTGGTGGGGATCTCTTCTTGGGGGGCGAGCGGGTGCGTCTCCTCGGCAGTGATCTTGGGGGCCTCGGCCAGCTCCTTGGCCCTCTTGGCCGTCTCAACTGCCGCCTCGACAATGGCCAGCAAGTGGGCCGCCCATTGCTGTCGGGCGGCTTCCGTGCGTTTCTAATGGGTTGTTGTGGCGATTAATCAAATGTGGAATAATAAATGATAATAATCGAAAGCACAAATGAGCAAACGGGGGGGGGCGTACGTTGGTGGCCTTGGTGAGAACGGTGGCGATCAACGCGATGACCACCATGTCGAACAGCACCACACACATGGTGTAGTGGTGTCGTTGCTGGACCGAAAGAGTCCACAGACTCTTCTCCGTCGTGATGTAATGGCGGCCGACGCGGAACGGCGGAACCTCCTTCATGGAGCGGGCAGACTTCGCCACCAACAACGACCAGAAGTGGTGGTCGCTGGTCGAAGCGAAGCTGGCCTGAGGTACGATCGACTGCTCCATGCGAACGGTCGAGTCGATCGTGGCGAAGGTTGGGCCGGCGGTGGTGAAGAGGAACCCGATAGTGAGGGTCAACATCGCCAAGAACCAGACGGCAAACTTGATGGTGTTGTTCATCATGTTGGTGAGCTGTGTGTTGCTTGCGTGGTGGTTGAAACGACAAAAGAAAAAGGCCAACGTTCCACCTTCTTGGTCTTCGCGAAGGTCACGGCGACCGGCCACGTCACCCCAAAAACACAAAAGCCCAAAAAGGGAAGTAAGGAAAAGGGCACCAATCACAATCACACAAATAAAGTAAATAACTGGAATACTTCAGGTAGGAGGAAGATGGAAAAGATGGGAGTAACGCGGGCACCACACCTCTCTCGCCACCTCATCTTCTTGGTCTCTCAAGCCTGAGCCCAAGAGATGTTCGAGCATCTAGAGGTCACTCTTGGGACACAAGGACGGACAAATCGAAACACCTCTTCGACAACTTCTTCCTCCCCCCCTTGCCAATCGAGCCTTGATGGGCACCACCAACATCGCAGCTTCACGACGTACCACTCTTGACGACTTTGAACATCGATCCTTACGACTCATGACGTTCAAGAGGCAACACCTCCCAACGGCATCCTCATCGTTTCACCCTTCTTCAGAAGACGATGCTCTTGCGACACCGGCCTTCTCAGACAACCCCACAATGCCGCCGTCAATGATGTCGATCGTGCCCCACGTACAACAAGATTCGCGGCTCTACTATCTCCCGCCCCAAGGACGTGTGCCTGTACGACTACTCTCCCTCTCTCAACTTGGAAGCACAGCTTGGGGTGGCTCGCCATCGAGTG